GATGCTCACCTCTGATTGGCCAGATAAACATTCCAGATAAAGGCAGAAGTGGTGTCATGTGACTCTGGCTCTTTTGTACTGACTAAATATTGCTTGTGATAGCAACCCAGGTATGAGAGTATTTGCTGAGTGTGTGTCACCAAGTAGCGAATAAGTAAGTCGATTTAAGACCTTCAGCCTGCGTGTAAATGGTGTTGGAGTTTTTCTAGCAAAACAGAGAGTGAGAGTCTGACTTACCTGAAGATGACAGCATTAGAGGTGTTAGGGTGAGGTTAGGCTCCCTTCTAGACCTTGAAATCGCATTTGTCCATCCTAGAAGTGGTATCTTATTGGCTGCTGGATAAAGAGGAAGAGGAATTCTCCTCCCACAGGGGCAGGTATGCAAAGTAGCCTGGACCTGAAGGACACACCTCTGTATAACTGTTGTCATAAATAAGCTATCAAGCTAAAAAGACGTTGCTCTAAAATGTGTTCAATTCATGTGTATATGTACAAGTATATGTTATGGTAAATATGTTATGGCTTTGATGATAGTGCATTGATGAAACTTCCAAATATAAGAGGAGGTGCATAACTATAACTGTATTATAGAAGTGTACTAAACTCTGTGCTAGCTCCAGTCACATTATTACCTCTTTGTCAGGTTTTCTCAAATTATTTTTTAAAGTCTGAAACAGACTGTATTAGCCAAATATTATTTAGCAGTTTATAATAAGTAAATGCAGTAATTAGTACTAACCAGTTTAAGTAAATTTCCTGCATTTAACCATCGTATCCAACCAAAGGCAGTAGCTGGTAAAGTAAAAAGTAAACACCTTAATGCTGTTTAAGAGAACTTGTTGGTCCAGTCACACGAGCACTGGTTAAGTCACAAAGCATTTTCTTTTTATACTAAGCTATATATTAAGATTTTTATGTCAAGTCAGTTCTCTGTGACCACATACACACTTTATTAGTACACATGTTATTTACTATCCACAGTTTAGAATATATGTAGCTAGGATATACTGTTTCAAAGCTTGCACAAATGTTCATGGATGCAGTTTGGACTCCTGAGAACACAAATCTTACTATCATTCATTATCTTTACACTTACAATATAGAATGTTGGTGCTCAGGTTAGACATGGTACAGTTTGGATATAGCCGTGTGTGCTGTGCTTACTGACTGTTTTTCTTCTGTCCCTAGATACTTGGGCGCAGGTGTTGGCTCAGCTGCTGTTGCAGTTTACTGAATTATCTGTTCCAGTAGGTCACATCAACTTAGCAGAGGGAGCCCACTCCTGTGTGGCAACAGCTACGGCTGATGTCTCTGACATCAGAATACGTCAGAGGGTGATCCAGAGTATTTCACTAAAAAATAAGAGCAGGGTTGAACCTATACCAGCTTAGACTGGATAAACGTAGGAATGCCTGAGGCAGGAGCTTGAAATAGTCATTCTTCTTTTATTTCCACAAGTTTTTAAGGTGACAGCTTTTAAAACATTACTTAGTAAAAAGCTGTTATTTGATCCAGCTGTCTTAGCTAATTATAGACTGATTTCCAAGAGTAATTATCAAACAGTTAACTGATCATTTGCATAGCAGCGGTTTATTTGAACAGTTTCAGTCAGGATTTAGACGACATCGCAGTGCAGAAGGTGCGAACGTTACAAATAGTTTTCTTATAGTCTCTGGCTGTAGACTCATCACTGTTTGTCCTGTTAGACCTTAGTGCAGCTACTGTTGTCCACGGTATTTAACTACAGAGATTAGAATTACCATGCAGTGATTTGAATCATATGTCTGATAGATTCAAATTTGTTCATGTAAATGGAGAATCTTCCTCCCACGCAAAATTTTGCTCCGAGTTCTGTGCTGGGACCAGTACTTTTTTTGGTCTTCACTTTATACATGCTTCCCTTAGGAAGTATTTTTAGAAGACATTTCATTGCTATGCAGATGACACACAGCTTTATCTGCCCACGAACCCAGATGAACACAGGTATATCTTTAAGACATAAAGACCAGGATGACCTGAGGTTATTGCTCATGGTTCTAAAAAAGATCTTTATGTAAAATCTGAAATATCTAATAAATATGTCGTGTAACCCACTTTAAAATTAGGCTTTAAGCTTTCCTTTTTGATAAAGGTTATAGTTAGGACTGGATCAGGTGACCATAAACCCTTCCTTAATTACACTGCAATAGGCCTAGGCTGCTGAGGAGCTTACCATGATGCACCAAGCATTTTCTTCACCCATCTCTTTCCGCTCTCCGTTTACACACCGCTATTGTATTTAATCAGCAGTCAGTATTTATTAAAAGCTCTGTCTCCCATTGTCTTTTGTCCTGTCTCTCTCTCTGCTCTCTTCCCTTTCTCCTCAATCCCAACGATCATGGGACATGGCTGCCCCTCCTTAAGCATGGTTCTCCCAGAGGTTTGTTCCTGCAAAAAATGAGGTTTTCCCTCCCAGTGTCACAAAGTGCTTGTTTGTAGGGGGTTATCTGAATGTTGGAGTTTCTTTCTAAATTTGTAGGGTCTTTACCTTATAGTATAAAGCACCTTAAGCAAACTGCTGTGAATTGGTGTTATAGAAAAAAAGTGATTTGAGAATTGAACTGAATTATGTCAGTCTTTGGGACCACCATAAACATTTGCAGTCTGAATAAGAAAAAACAAACAAACATTTCTTGTTCTTTTTCTTTCAAATTAACTATTTTATTTATTTACATATATTTACACAAGTACATAATATCTTGATACAGCAGTGATGACGAAATAAAACAAGAAAATAAAAGAGAAGACACAAGTCAACATCTCTCATCAGAAATTGACATCTACATATACAATAAACTGTATGGGTGACAAATTAAAGGTAACACAAATCATTCAAAGATGCTCACAACAACACCTCTTTGTAAAATTCTTCCCCATGATCACAAAAGCCACATGCCATTTCACCTCGCCCACAGCTTATATTATATAATAGTGCAATTGTTCTTGTAGTACTTGAATGAAAGCTACCTAAAAACTGCTAAATTATCTACGGCATGATTTTTTTTAACATTTTGAAACATAGGTCTCAACAGTCTCCGTGTTTCTGCTTTGAACATCTGTCACCGTTCATGGATCAGATCATGCCGTCGATTTCACCGATTGTGAAATTTAGGCCATCTGGCAGATGTCAACAACTGAAGCATCAAAACATTAATAACTCCTCAAATGGATCACATGGAGTCTCTCTGTTTGCTGTTTGTTTTATCAGAGGCGAAATGAAGGTTTGCTCCTGCAAACATGTGCTTCAAAAGACTAGGTAGTTATCTCGCCTGCAGGCATCTGCAGCAATAATTCCATTTGATCTGCCGTTCCTCTTTTGTGGAGTGGACATGAGAGACTGAAACAGGGATCATCTTTCCCTGGATGCAAAATCTATTGTTTACAATTTTATAGAACTGATTATGATTAAAAACCACAAACATGACCACAGATGTATGCAGTTTTAATACAATTAAAGTTGCTATAATGCAAAGTAATTATGTTTTCATACATAATCCCTAATTAAAAAAGTTTACCCTTTGGAGTGGTGTACAGTAAGAAAAAAAAATGCTGTCTTTTTTTAAAATAACCATAAGGCACTTGTATCTTTTAACTCAACACAATACTTACCACAACATGCAAAGAGTACAATTTTTAAAAGCACAGGATGGCTTTTATGCACACAAGTAGGCCAACTTTGGCATTCAAACCTAATTTCTTATCTTCCACTGAATAATTCAATGTAGTCTATCAGGGAAGACCACCATTTAGAAATACACACACATTAAGTTATTTTTAAAAAGTTTTTAGATGTATGCTGATTTTAAGAATTATCAAGGCCAGTTTAAAAGTTAAACAAATACTAAAATCACATTTTAATGTGACCTAACATCTTCTGCTGCAATATTTCAGCACTACTGTATTGCATGAATACTTAAATATTTAAAATATTTGTCAGTAAAGCTGAAAAACAGTCTTTGCTCTGTCCTCTAGTGAACCAGGAAAGACAAGTCCCAGCTACAAAGAGCAGCTAACACAGAGGTACACCAAGAAGGGTGGAATGCCCAGAAATATTTTGCATATTGTCTGCAAATGTGATTTAGTAAACAGGCTTGTAGATAATCTGACCAGCCAGTAGTCTGCGCCTCAGCTCCTTCCACAGCAGGCTCCTCTCTCTCTGGGATCTCTTCATGATCCCGCGGTTCTCTTGAGCACGGCGGGACAGGTAGGGGATTACTTCATTGACAGGGCCGTATGGAACGTATTTGTAGACTGGAAAACCTGCTTGGCCTGTTTTCAGATAAGAGAAGGAGATTCAGTGTTCAGAGTCACCACCATGTGTGAATATGGTGTATAACAGCATGCAGTCGATACATTCTGCTTATAATACAAGAATACATTAAGTTAACAATCGCGAATGAAGTGAACAAACAGAGGGTACCAAGTTGTATTCACACATGCACTGAAGTCCTGAGCTTTCCAGACAACACCTGACAGAGGTGCATGTGGGAACACAAATGACTCGTGTAGTCAGACTGGACATTAAACGGTCTTTAAGTTCACAATCTACGTGATGTCCAACTGTGCCTGTTTCACAATAGTTGAAGTAAGAGTCCTGTGAAATCATGCAAGACCCCAGTTTAAACCAGAATATTTCACGTTGTGAGCACACAGATGAGCCAAAGTCCTGTTGTGTGCTCGACTGTTCTGCTAACCAACGTAGGGGGAGGTATGGGGAGTGTTAATGTTCAGTGAAAAAAGGTGAAGTAATGAATGGTGCGGAAGAAACTATAAATCAAATTCCTAATAAATCACTTTTAAATTGCAATAAAACTAATAAATTGAGGTTCTGCAGACACTTGACCACTAACAATCATGGGACAATGTAGGATCAAGTGAATAAGGCCCCAGCCACACTGGCTTAGAGACCATCCCCCCGACTGATTGTGAGTGAAAGCTGGAGGCTGGAGGAAAATAAATGCTACAAGCCGAGCCACACAGGTCTAGAGTGCAGTCAGTGACATTCGTTATTTGTCTGAAAGTGAAGGACTTGTCTAAAAATACTGGCCAGCTGTTTTCCGAGCTGAAGTGAAACCATCGTAAAGTAAAATAAAAGCTTTACCTTTTGAAAACTTTTACTTTGAAGGCGAACCTTTTACATTTTTGCTAGGCTTTTAACTACCGCTCGGCTACTAGTTGGAGAGTTTTAGTAGACATAAATAAAAACCACAGGCAATCCAAGCAATTAGTGGAAGCTTTTTAGTGCAGCACCTTTTTTTTGCAACCAGTTTTACCCAGTGCATGAGCAACAAGCAGTTTAATTTGAGCCTGAGAGTGTTAAGTGACACCGAGGTCTGACTCCTCTTTTAGTGAGTTTCTCAGATATAGATATCTCCTTTGTATTGAGGGATTAATCATCTGCAAAATCAAACAAATGACTTAAACAGCAACAAAAACTGGATGATAAA